CTATTTAGCTAAAGAGGAAGCGCCTTGTTAGCAAAGTCAAATTATTATTTTGAAACAACAAATTTCCCATGATTTCTCTCGAAAGATCATATTTGCTCGAAGCGTATCTTAACGTAAAGAAATGGGCGGTAAAAGAAATGGGCGGTTTATTATAAACAGAGCATTTAGTTAAATATTTGCATTGATAAAAATAAAGTTTAAACAGGAAATATATATATATATATATATATATATATATATATATATATATATATATATATAAGTATAACAGTGTGAATCAACAAAATGGTAAATATCAATATGTAGATATTTTTTATGTTATGTTTCACCGAGGGACCTGAAAAAGGTAATTTATTTCACAACTACACGCATACACGCATAGGCGCGCATACACTTACACAAATACTCACAGAAATACACACACAAACATATATATATATATATATATATATATATATATATATATATATATATATATATATATGATTGATTGATAAAGTTTGTCACCCCTAGAACAAACATTTAATATTAGAAACTTTAATATAGTCATTTTTCAAAACATACCTCTTTAAGAATTGACACACTGTCGAGCTGCCATGAAACGTACGACTTATTTCTTTGTAGAATTATTATCTTCGAACTAATGTCTTTGTACATTCGGTTAGACCACAACTTATTAATCACTCCTCGTGCCTACATACATATATAGTCTACGAGGGGTTTTCAGCACCCCATTGTATGTAATACTTCAAATAAAATGTACTTACTTAATATTTTGTTTCTTTTATCTGTCACATGTCCTTTCAAGATGTTGGCAATCATGGCTCTCCATATCTTTCTGGGTTTTGTTCTGAAAGGCCAAACATGGATAAGAATAAGAAAGAGATTAAGTGGACGGATTAAACAGATTAGATAATCCACTGTTCATCAAGAAGCCTCTCAGATATTTCCTTTTGGTTTTATAATAAGAATATGTAAAATATTTATCAATATACACACACCCAAACATATATATATATATATATATATATATATATATATATATATATATATGTATGTATGTATGTATTTGTAAGATTTCAGAAAGAATATATCTTTCAAAGGATAATATGAATAAAGACAAAAGATAAATTAATCTTAGCTGACTAGTTTCCTCCTTTGCCTTGACAAAGTCCCTCAGAGGACGAAACGCATCAGCTAAGTTTTTACATATATTTATATATATATATATATATATATATATATATATATATATATATACACACACACACGCACATATATATATATATATATATATATATATATATATATATATATATATATAAATTATCCACGTATGCTCTTTTATAGTATCTAAAATAATTGATGACATCTGACTGACCGAATTGAGAGATAGACCTGTGTGAAGAAAGGGATGAAGCAATAAAAGTCTTTACCAGGGGCCACGATCAGTGAATTTGTGATTCTTGCACTGAGGTTATTAGCGTCTGCTGGATTTGAAATTTAGCACAATTAAAAAAAAAACACTATTTGATATGAAACACGAACGAAAGTTGCAGCAGCAACTGGACATTTTGTGATTTCCCCAAAACTTTATTGTGCGCCCACATGTCAACTAAATGAAAAACATATATAATGTCTTTGTCATTCACTTGAATACAAGAATTATTCACACCCCACAAATACACACACGCGCTTGCTCGCAATGCACATTAACAGTTTTAAATCAACTTGACACGGAAGTATCATGAAAAGAAAACTTAACAGTCTATATTGTTTTGATATATTTATACTCGCTTGTCGCCAAAACGGGGTCTGGTGGTTCTGCCTCTCTATACAAGATCATTTGCAACGCCCCCACCTTCCGTGAAAATGATGTGAACTCATTTTAGTGAGCAAATACTTAGTCGCGGTTTCACTGACTTAAAGCTCCACCCCATTCAAAACATACTTGCGATGGGCCTGTATTTACTAAGCATAACATCGTACAAAATAATTGTGGGCGAAATAAAGTTAAGAAGAATGTGTTACGCCAAACTTCCAAGTCAACATGTACATCTTATTCTGATAATCAGCAGAGTATTTCCTTTTACCTGGTCTATGACACAGACCACCAGTAGATGCTTGACGATTTAACCCATCAAGGCCTTAGGTGTTAGTTATTTCGTGCAACGAAATTAAACAAAGAAATAAAGAAATAAAGACAGGTTTTATTTGACAAGCTTTCAAAAAGACAAACAAAACTTTATACATTTTTGATATTTAAAGTTAGTGATCTGCATGTCAATTTAAATATGCTGTTTTAATTAATTTACACTTTATGTGACTGATGCCTGAAATTTTATTTGAACTTTTGTATATATTTTAAATTTCAAATGATTCACACACACACACACACACACACACACACACATATATATATATATATATATATATATATATATATATATATATATATATAGAAACACACGACACCCATAAAAGAAGTTTTGATAATGGCATTTGAAAGCCAAAAGTACACAGATATCGGAGAATCTATATTCAAATTTTCTCCGAAAACCATGAGAAAAGGTACGAAATATAGAAAAATAATTTCTAAAAAATCCTTAATAAAGAACTATCGTTTGTTTTTAATCAAGCATATATATATATATATATATATATATATATATATATAAAGACAAAAGGAAAACTTATCTTATGTTCCGTTTTCTGAGAGACTTTGTGAAGGCAAAAGTCCCTCAGAGGACAAAACGCGTCGGCTAAGATAAATTTTGCCCCTGTCTTTTTTCATAGTGCCCTTTTACAGATATACTCTGAGATTTCTACACACAAACACGCACACATACACACGCACGCACACGCCCACAGATATATATATGTGTGTGTTTGTATCTTAATTATACATACATATATATATATGTATATATTTACATATATAATGAACGTTATTACATCTAATCTAATATTTATCGCGCTAGTCACTATAAACCGAAATTCTGTTAAATGTGATATGCATGAAATTACCTTATTTTGCGTATATTAATTGCTAGCATTATTATTTTAGTTCATATATATATATATATATATATATATATATAGATAGATAGATAGGTAGGTAGATTAACCATGCCTATTTTATTAGACTTGACTAATAAGTTTTCTCTATTCAGTTTTAGAGTAAATTTTTTCTCGTCAGCATTTGAAGTGCCGTAAAACTGAATCACAGTTATAAAACAAAACTGTAGGAAGCTCACGCTTTTTAAGAAACTATTTATTTTTTATTTTAAAATTTATCAGTTTTACAATCGAATTACAAACCGCTTTACACAAGACGCCACTTTCACGCGGTAACATGCATTTAAAATTATCACATTTCTCGAAGATGCCAGAATGAAAATTAATTAGAACATTTCAGGATTGTACATTGACAACATAACGTTCTCGATAATGACCAGCGATTGTCTAGAAGTACTAAAAGTACTTGAACCGAAGTCATATTGAAATGATTCCAATAAAAATATATTTTTTATCATTTCCCATATGATTATTTACTTAGACAATATTTAAATTTTAATGGCTTCATATTGTTATGATGATTTCGATTTCAGAACTATTTCAAGTAAACAAAAATTAAATCAAACCTGCGATCCTATTTCATTAGTTGACTGGGTGCATATAAAATAAATCTATACCCAAATGATGAAATGCATTGTAACGCAAGAGTCGAATAGGGAAGAACATTTAGGAATATGGAAAATGAAGAAAAATTATTTTTCCAATGAATATTGTCTTTTTTTTTTTTTAATCAACTCACCCCAAACAAGGAGATAATGCTACAAACACGCAAGGCTTTTGAACGAACCGGAAACCCAATCCTAAACCGGAAACAAGGAATAAACCTCTGCTCCTGTTCCAAATACCGGTGCTAAACGAAACTGTCTACTCCTATTGAAGAAAAATAAATAATAAATAAAGCTTCAGAGTTTAGGAGGAGACGTTAGAAGCATAGAATTGGTGTAGACTTTAGAAGGAAGCATAAAGCCAACCCTAAACAGGAAAACAAGGGATAAACCACTACTTCTGGTCAAAAGACCAGGGTAGAATGGGAACAGAGCGATGGGCGAATCTATCCTCCCCTATTGAGGACAGAAAATATAAATAAATAATTTGTAAATAAAATTTCAGAGTTCAGGCTGTGGCATTAGACGTATAGAATTGAAATAGAATTTTTATTCATATCATATATGTTCAAAAGGCCAGGAAGGAGTGTGGACCGAAAGATAGGCAAGCCTATCTATTCCTATTCTTTAGAGGGATTCTGGAAAACTAAAAACAGTGTTGTCGTTTTTTTGTTTTTTTTTTTCATCTCGCTCTTCTTCTTCTTCTTCTTCTTCTTCTTCTTCTTCTTCTTCTTCTTCTTCTTCTTCTATCTGTTGCATCTCCTCAAAACGTTGGCGTTCAAGGCTCTCCACAATTTTCTTAATAAATCATTTTGTTAGGTCTCCTAAACCCTTTTCTGTCATCCATTTACTCAAGCTCGCTAAGTAGGTTATGCGTTGTTTTCCTCTGTCCCTCTTGCCTTCAATCTTTCATATCATATTTTCCAAGCCATCTTTCCTCATTATGTGCTGGAGAAATGTCAATTGCCTCTTTCTGATGTTAAGTATAAGTGTCCTTTTTGTTTCCATTTTCTCTAATACTAAAACGTTGTTGCTTACATTTTCAGTTCATGGTATTCTCAGTATCCTTCTGGAGAAGCATATTTCTGTTGCTTCAAGTGTCTTCTTCATCTTTGTAGAGATTGTCCAGCATTCACTGCCATACAGGACAACTGATATTACGTAACTTTTAAATGGATAAATCACTATTTCAAACCGAAAATAAGATCCTTCTTTTCGGAAAAAGGCATGTCAATTTCTTCAGCTTTTATCACAATACTAGTTCATCTGTGACGGTTTATCTAAGTAAATTAACAATTGAATTATACTTATAAATGCTTACGGCCATATCACGTTGAAACACCGGTTCTCGTACGATCACCGAAGTTAAGTAATGTCGAGCCTGGTCAGTACCTACATGGGTGACCGCTGGGGAATATCAGATGTTATAAGCTTTTGGAGTAATGAATAATGACTCGAATAATAATAATAATAATAATAATAAGTGGCAGTTGTTATCGAAGCGCTCAGAACGATCTCAAAGAGCCTAAAGTGAACACCGCTGCAGGCTGCCATTTTAAAACATACTTTAAATGTGATATGTCCCGGAAAAGGATATATTTGTTCGAAGTAGCAAAGTAGTTGTTGACACTGTAACCGGGTAGGACAATCTAGCAGGTAACCGTAAGGGAAGGATCCTCGTCATAGTGGTAGGCAATGGGCGTAGGCAATTAGGCGAAGACAATACTCGCCGGCCTCCTTGAAAGACATTTCTAGTTGTCGTAATGAAAGACCCCCCGGTTACCATTTGGTGGAACAGTTATCCTCAGGACGACGTTTTTACTACCTGCAGGCCATACTTTAAATGTGATATGTCATCATATTTGTTCTATTTATTTAACCGGGTGGACAATCTGCAGGTAACACCATAGCCAATCATATTACTGTGAGGGGGGGGGCAGATGTATGCATATTCATTACATCAAAATGTTATTACATAAAAAAAGAAAAGAAAAAAAACCTTTCAAGCCTTAAAACGCATGAAGATTATTATATATACAAACTACCCAGGAGAATGAACAAAATGACAAAAGAGTTCCACAAGATCAATACTAAACTATTAATTGTTCTTACTAACTAATCAACTGACGGAAAATTTCAAGATCAGTACTATCCCTATCTTGTTACTCACATTTCAGTTACATTCCATTCTGGTAATGTTCAATTCGCTTTATTTTTTTTTCTCAAGACAAATGACGTTTGTACAAAGACTTTTTTTTTTATACTTGTATGCAATTTTTAAATATAACTTCAAGATAGACATTTGTTAAATATTGTTAAGCATTGCTAAACAGTGTTTTTTTTCTTTTTCTTTTCTTAAGTGTTGCAAACAACTGGAAGAGTTACGTCAATCATTTTGTTCAGTAACACAGACCTGCTTGTCAGTTGCCTGACCTTAATCATTTGCTTATATGTCCCCTAAAGGTGCGATCAACTGTGCATCACCTTTCATGAGTGGGAATGGTGAGGAAGCGCCTTGGATGGGTTGTCGAGAGGGTTAATTTTTAAGTTAGAAGGACGACTTGAGAGTCACATCAAGATGCGCCCTCAAACAGAGATCGTCTGATTGAACTGGGTTACTCGGCCTGAAGGTATTTCTAGGTGTGCATTCCCCATAGGGTTATATGCTGCTTTTATCTGCGATCATATGTCATCCTATCTGTCATCATATCGCGCAGATTTTGGCCATGATGCACTAGGGCAGGTTGATTTTGGGACCGTGGTATTGCATTCAGTTTGAAAGTTCAGGTTTGACATGATAAATAATGACACAAAATATTTTTTTCAAATCGCTACCGTCTTTTTTTTTTTTTTGAGGAAACGAGTTTAAATATGAAGTTTAGGTTCAAAATCGTAGCGTTGCAATTTCATTACGGTGATCAGTGAAAGCCTTATAACACAGCCTTATAAAATTTATAATTTACTGAAACTTTATAGACTGTATATGGACAAGAGGCATAGCTCAAGCACATTATTACTAAATCATTGTGCCATTGAGTAAGACCTCCATTTAATCAAAGGAAAATTATACTGGACACTTTAGCTATATTATGGTCTTTATATAGTTCAGTAGCTTTAGTGTGATTTTCAATAAACAACACAAATTTAAAATATTTTGTCTTATTATTTCTTCCCAGCAGTATTGTGGTGTTATATACACTACTATCTATTTTTTTGTTTTTATTAATTATCGTCTAACAAAGGAACTAACAAATCTTCTTCATTCAGTAGCCATTTTTGTAATCTTTTACAATTTTTTTACTTATCGAATTCATTAAAAACATTACATATTTTGCTTGTGGTGATTCATAATTAGAATTCTGGTTTGAATTTTCCATTCAATGTATCTAATACAAAAAAAATACCAACTTTATTTGGATTTATTCTTGTAATAGTAAAATTTTGACGTCAGTTTGTTAGCAAATCTTGTGGAAATTGGTTATTTCGCTACATTTTTCAGGCGATCTTTAAAGCAAAATTCTCAAAAATTGGTAATAGCTATGAATTTAATTTTTGGTGTCGATTCTTATTACGTCAAAGTGCGATGTTGATTTTCTAAAAACAGTGAAAAATCAAGCTGCCCTAATGATGCACATACCTTCATTAGACTAGATATCATAATAGGTATATTAGACTTCGTATATTTGTACTCTCGCGTTATTCTCTCTCTCTCTCTTTCTCTCTCTTACTACTACTACTACTACTACTACTAATAATAATAATAATATATAATGAAATAATTAAAAAGAATACCAGCAGTCATTAAGAAAATCCTTATCATTTGAGAAACAAAGATTGTGCTCATGAGCAAGTCTTTTTATCTGAGGAAGGTTTTTCAGATAAATTTATTGTGAGTTTGAGTCATTATGAGAGTTTTTCTTTTCCCTGTG